TTTATTGTAGAGATGAGGTCTCGCCTGCCCAGGCGGGTCTCGAACCCGCGGGCTCAGGCAATCCACTCACCTCAGCCTCCCAAAGGTGCGGGATTACAGGCTGAGCCACTGAGCCCGGCTTGCTTTCATATTTTAAAGGCTTATTTTTTTCCACAGGAGAGTTCATGAGTTGGAATGTAGATATAGTGAGAGCTTGTGTTTGGAATGTAAGTCATATTGACTTGCTGTGAGGTTTCCCAGCACTCGTGTTTTGATACTTTTTGTCCTTTCTAAAGCGTATCAGTGTCAGTTGGCTTTGCTTTGGGGGTGTTCCTATCATCCAGAGCAATTTTGCCTTCACTGGGGACTGTGGGAGTTTAGAAACTTCCTTTGGCTCAGTAGATGTTTGGAAGGCTCACCCCACAGGGCAGGCAGCTCTGGGCCCTGGTCTGGGCTTTAGGCCCGAGCAACTCCGGCTTTCCGCGGGCCTTGCTGGAGCCTGGGCTTATCCTCCAACAATGGCAATGGCACCGCAGGGATCGATGTGGGCTTCACAGAGCTCATGATATACTGCATCTTGTTGTGACAAATGGCATCTCCAGCCAAGTTCTTGTCAAAGAAAATTAACTTTAGAGCCGGTCAGGGAGTGAATGAGACCTGGTGTTTTGCTCCTTTTGTGACTCATGCTAATTGGAGCAATAACCCGCAGACCATGTGTTGGAGAGCTGGAAAGTGAATGAGTGGGAAGAATGAATGAATGGGTGGTGGAGGTGGGGGAGGTCCCAAGCACTGTGGCCCACCATGGGGAGATCTGTTCTTCCCTGAAGAGGCACTGAAGGGGAAAGCAGGTAGCATCTCTTCCTAAGTAGATACATATCGTGGAAGGAAATGCTCTCATCCAAGACACTGGAAAAGCTCATTTAAGCTGGTGAGTAAAGCTTTTTTTTTTGGTTTGTTTTATTCATTCATCCATTTGCAAATTAATTCCATCAAGGGGAGAGCCTGTCAGTTCCCAGCTCAGGGCTGGCAGGGATCCCGATGCATTGGCCCCGAGGACTCTCCCAGGCCTGGGTGCATGTGGGCAGGGTCTTCACATCCTGTAGATCTGAGGACTGTTTTTGGGTGAGGAACTCTTTAAAATTAGACCAAAAAGAGCCATAGAAATCATCTTGAAAACAAGATTCTGTATGAAGGATGTGCACTGGGAAATTTGGTGATGCCTTGCTTAAAATCACAACATGCTTTCCTAAAAGCAATCCCCTACTCTCCCCGGGGACAGCCAGACTGTGCCAGGTGCCAACAAGGCCTGGCCTTAAACAGGTACGCAGGATGCCGGCGAGCCCCAAGCATACCCCTCTGTTCCCAGTGCCATCGGCATAGTGAGTTATAGCAATTGCCTACAGTTGAGTCTGTGGTGAAAAACAATCTTAATGGAGAAATGGGCAATACCGGCCACCTAAGTGCTTTGGACTGTCAATTAATTATAAAGTGTGGTCCATGGCCTGACTGCTTTGGTATCACTAGGCTGCCCCATCCAGAACTGCTGAATCTCAACCTGCATTTCAACAAGATGCCACATTTAAGAGAAGTGATGCTGTCAGAGTTCAGTTGGAGGAGAATTTCCCTCACCTCTCTTTTACTCATTTTTTACAGTGTCTCACTCTGTTACCCCTGCTGGAGTACAGTGGTACTATCTAAGCTCACTGTAACCTTGAACACCTGTGTTCAAGTGATCTTCCCACCTCAGCCTCCTGAGTATCTGGGACTACAGGCGCATACCACCATGCCCAGCTATTTTATTTTATTTTATTTTTAGAAACAGGGATCTCACTGTGTTGCCCAAGCTGGTCTCTAACTCCTTGTCTCAAGTGATCCTCCCACCTTGGCCTCCCAAAGTGCTGGAATTACAGGTGTGTGCCACTGTGCCTGGCCTCTTCTGTTCATTTTAAAGCTTGAAAAATTACATCGTGGATTTTTTTTTTTTTTTTTT